GTCCATTACAATTATAGTTAACAATGAATAATAGTATTAATAGCATTTGTCTATATATGAAAAGAACGATTACGGAATATCTGAAACTTAGGTAGATATAAGTTTATAGATAGTTTGGTTAAAAAATAATTTTGCAGAAAACTCAATCATGATACGCAATTCTACGAAAAGTTTTGACATTCTAGCAATACATAATTATTTTGATAGTCCAAAATTATTTTCAGATTTATATTAATCTAAATTTTTAGATATTTTAGCAAAATCTAAACTTTTTGTGCAAAAATGTAATTAAAATATAAAATGAATAAAAAATTTAAAAAATGATTATTTAAAGAATGAATAAAAAATTTAAAAAATGATTATTTAAAGAAAAACGTAGCTAGGAAAATAATATATTATTAAAATAATATATAACAATTAACACAAAATTTCTTGTTAGAAATTATATTTATATCATGTAGACATCTTTAACATTGTTTTCATAGTAAAGAGATACGTTTCGATGAGAACCACATCAAGCATTCTCTCCTGTCTGAATATCTATACAGGATCGTTATTTCTAATTACGTATACAACGTGTACCGCTTTGTTTGCCAGAATGGATATTTGCTCGACGTGCCCAAAGCGAGGAAGTTCGAATTGCATTGGTCAAGACTACTGTGAGACTCCACTTTACGACATTCGGGTAGCAAATAGCATAAACGCAAGATCTAAAGGCGAGCAATGATGCATTCAAGTTAACAAGCTTGAAACTATCAATAGTCACCGATAGGGTACAAAGCAGATTATTATGCATTATAAATTTTAAAAACATTCTAAATTTTTAGAAAAAAATACTGAGCTTTTCACAAATACATATACAACACATATTACAGAAACAAAAAATATTATAAAAGAGAGAGTTGTAAAAAATCATTTTTTTTAATATCTTATGCAAACTAAATACTATTAACAAATTTCTATTAAAAGTCTGAACGTAATGTTGATTTTCTGGATAAATATATAACATATCTAATAATTATTTATTTAAATTTTATTTGAATAGTTAATTTAAGCTTTAAAATTAACTATTTGCAAGTAAATTTTTAAATACATAAATATATGTATATAATAATAACATATTCTTCTTGTTTAACATTAAAAAAAGTATCTCTAAAATAGTAAAAATGTTTAAGAAATTGCATAATCAGTTAAATTATATAAGTTAAACAACGTTTATTAACAAAGAAAAAAAAAGAAAATTTGTTTTCATTAAAAAATATTTTCTTATGTATCTTTAAAATCTTATATAGAGAAAGTTACATACATTTTAGAAAGTTAATAACAAGAAGATTTTTTTTTAAGTATATGTTAAACTTATTCCAAATTAAAAATAAATTTTTCTTATTTGTTCATTCTTTCTTCTTCTGCAAATATTTTGTAAAAATCGTTTTATTATTTTAAAAACAAATACGTTTATTTTATTGTAAAATATTGTTCTGCAAAGTGAAATTTTTATGATATACTATGAATCTAATTTTTATAGAAACAAATTGCGCAAAATTTTAAATCTGGTACGAAATTTAAAAATGCTATACATTTTGTTTTATATGCATGGACATATGCATTACGGAAGATTATTCTATATGCTTGATTGTTATTGTTAACTTTTCATTTTTAAAGCCATATAAAAAATTTCTCTATTTAAAATTAAGAAAAATTGTTGAAAGATAAAGTTTTAATATTTGCATATGAGATAAGGATAGATAAGATAAGATTTATTATTATGATTTATATGGATCTCGGTATTGTAAAGAGAAAGATATATAAAGCTGATAACAAAGCACTTTCAATAATATTATACTAATTGAATTGCTTATGCTAATAAAGTATATTAATTTTGCATAATATTTGATGTTATGAGATAACAATGAAAACGTGACACTTATTATATTTCATGTCAAGATATTGGTTGAATATATTTCATACCAAGTCGCATACATCATTCTAAAATAGAGAACCCATAATATAATAGAGGCCAGAGAAGAATGAAAGGGTTGTCAGGAAGGCATCGGAGTCAAGGTGTGTTGCTCCTTTTTTATCGATAATTTATCGGCGTTCCGCGGTATAGCGCTTTCGTTAATAAATCTTCCTCTACGTGGAATCTGACTCCTTGTGCGGTTTGACAGAACTGGATACATATAGTCGATGGCGATACAAGGGAAGATTATTACGGTACTGAAACCATGATAGCCATATTTTTCTTCCTCCATTACCCTTGCGCTTCTGATCATCATTGTTCTCTTCTCGGATATATTGGTACATTTTGCACCGCAAAACATTTAGTACTTATCCCGTATACTTATCCCTTAATAATATTTGCCTGTCTCAACCCTGGTCTTCTCCAGAGACCGTCCTGACCTGTTTCACGAAAGTTTGTGGCACAACTGGCGTATAACAGGTTGCTCGGGCGATTTCTACAGGCTGATCCGGAATTACTTACATCGACAAAGTTCGCACAACGATTCTTTAATCGAGTTTTTCTTTTGCTATAAGAGCATATTAAATTGAATGTTACGTTTTTCTATATTTTTTTATTTTTCAAAACTGTATCTATATAAGTATACCTTTTGATATAAATAAAAATTAAATTTTTATTATTTGCAATTAAAGGATTTTTCACAAAAAACCAAATAAATCCATTTTTTAATCACTTCTTATTTATTTTTTCAAATTTTAGTTGCACCGCAATCATATTTATAATCAAAGAAATTTGTTATACAATTTATTCTGAATGCTTCGGTATTATTCTAAATGCTTTCTCTGAATAAAATTTTCTCTTTATAATTTATATTTAAATTAAATATATATTTAATTTAAATCTCAATATCACATATATATGATTGTGGGCAATGTAATGACAAAGTATTCAAATACAAAACAGACCTTATATATGCTTATGAAATTACATGCGCACCCAGTACTGACAAGCAACATCTGCAATTGCAAACAGTCATATCTATTTACTGTAATATCGAATTGCTAATATTGATTGTAAGGTTTAGTTAAATTTTCGTAAAGTCAATCAAAATTCGCTTGTATTGCAGTAAAGTCATTTTAATAAACAGATCAAAGTTGATTCGACAAACATGGCGCTATTAGATAAACTTGTATTTTGAATACACATAAGTACACATGAATATTTGTGTTAAAAACATAATTACGCTGAGAAATTAATTACGTGTCTCTGACAAGTATCATCGGAGCAGATAACAATTCCCATGCAGCTTCATGTTTCTATCACGTTCTATTCATGCTCTTACAGAGAAGATTATAACCGCTTCGTATCTCTCTCGTAAACAACTGCAGCCTCATTATTTAGCACTTCCCTCATTAATAACGTCTTATTATCCAGCAATATCATCTTTATGAAACAGCCAACTCAAAGTTGCAGCACACAAATGTTTTTCCCAAGATATGCATAATAATTGCATCAATTTATGTAATTAATTATCTCAATGGTTCTATATAGTGAAACTAAACGTTATATATAAAACTTGAATTACCAAAATTACACGCGTAAAATAGTTGTAAATAATAATAATCTATCATAATTTTGTAAAGTAAAAATCAATGTTATATTCACAAAGTGTTAAAATTCGCGTTTATAATGCACCATTATACATAAAACCTGGCTTAAAATTTTGTATCAAGCTTAAGAACCTTTTAATGGATTTTCGATAATTCCACGTGCATATTAATTATGCAGAAATACAACCAAAATTTTGCATAGGTTGTATTATGGGACTTTTTAGGATAATATGTAAAATGAAGATATGTAAAATCAATCTACTTTTATAAGGAGCTTAAAACATCAAAATAGTGATTAATTTATGACATAATAAAAACTACTTGTTGCTTCTTATAATATTTTTTTATGATAATAAAATAGAATTAATGCTAAATTAATACGACAATATATAATTTCATAAAAATTAATATAATATATTGAACCGGTTATAATTAAAGATATTATAGAATTATTTTCTGATAGAAAAAGTGAATTTTCAACTAAGGAACTTTCTATTATGATTCCATTTTTAGGTAATAATAAATCTTTTTCTAAATTAGTTTATCATTGATATGTATTAAAATAAACAGTGACAATTTTCTCCAATTATTTTTGCCTAAGGCTTTGTTCTGAATCGATCTTCCGTTTACTCGTAAGATGTAGATATAATAGATAGATAATAGGTAGATAGATAGATAGAGAGATAGATATCAGATACTTCTTAATAATTTCAAATATTAACTGACGAAAATGGAATTATTCCAATCGAAAATCTTCCTGAATAATTCCATAATACCTCCGTCAGTCAATATCTGACTCTGTTAGCAGAGAATTTGCCGTATTTCGCCGAATGCCAGGATCGTGGTTGCAGTTCGTTCCAATATATTGTCCCTGTGGTTTGAGTTTGATCTGATGGGATTTTAGTCTTGCGATCGTCATCTTTCTGTAAGGCCGATTTTTTACAGAACAAATCTCTAAACATGAGCACAAAGAAATACAGAAGCTCCACTATAGTGATGAAACTAAAGCCAATGAAGACGCCACATATACCGCCGATATCACCTGCAAAACGATCATTTTTATGATACGACATACCTTTTGATAGCAAGGGAAGATAAAATGATTTGATAAAACTGCCGCGTGTTTTCATTGTTCATTCTTAAAAAAAATATTACGCGCAGTAGTGGCAATTTATGCTGTAAAATAGAAAGATTTTTCCAGCGATATCACCGTCACTTTTCTTTCTTTACACTTGATACCCTTTAATCAATGCTTTATAAATCGAATATGTAATTGCTTTTTTCTTAATTTGTAAGTACATATACAAATATACACGTATATACATTCCAAGCCAAAATTTTGGAAGCACTTTTTAAAAATTGACATTTTTGAAATTAATTATTTAAATATCTATAATAATTCTTTAGAGTCAATAATCTTTATTGGACCTAAAGAATTATTATTGTTAAAAATACATTGTTTTATAGATATTTGAAACAATCCCTAAAATCAATTTTTAAAAAGTGTTTCCAAATTTTTAGCCTGGAGCGTATATAAACTTAATAAGTTCCGTCTTTGTATTAATATAGAATTATTGCTTTCCATTAGTAGTTAATGTAAAAAAATAACGACTCTTGGGTAGATTTAGATAGATGTAGAATTTATGACTGTATTTAAATTAGAGTTGAAAAAAGTGCATATCTGCTCTCATATTTGAAGTATTACCATTTTTTCTGATTTTTGTTTTATATATAAATAATATACAAAACAAAAAGTATATACAAAATAAGATATATAGAAAACTATGTTCAAATTTTACAATAACAGATTTTCTAATTAACATTAATAAAATGTCTAAAATTTTCAAATAGATTTATTTTATATAAAACCTTTATTATTTTCTTTTATCAGTATAAATAAATGCATGCACATATAATTTATATAATCAAATTTAAAACATTTGTTTTTTCTCTAATGCGTATTAATTATATATTAAAAATTATCTTCTTAAATTTTTGGGATTATGAAAAGTCGAATGTCAAATAAACTTTTCCATGTTTCTCAGAAAATATTCCTCTTTTCAGCAATTTATTTGCAAAGTAAGCACCGGCAACTAGAAATTGCGCTATGTGAGAAGTATTATCTTTTTTTTTTGCACGAGTACCAGACTAGAGTGGAGAAACGTGATACACAGTCGGATATTAAAATTCCATTTTTGAAAACCCTCGGGCATGCTACAGAAGAACGCGGACAGAAAATTTCTCTTCCACACTACTCTATCTTTGATCATGTGATATCTTTTTCATATGTTTTGTATCAACTGTGAAAAGATTTGCTCATCGTCAGTTTTCATACCAAATGCAAAGTTCTTCATAATTTACTTCTTGTCCGCAATGTGCAATTAATTAAAAATGTTAAAGGTGGAAACATCGCAAACCGGGAGAAGTTATTTCTTCAAAAATATAGATATGATGTGGAACGCAGTGATATCAGATATATCAGGAGAAGTAGTAATGTCACTTGGCACTAATTGTGTGTGTAAGTACTATATTTACACTAATTATAATAAGTTCAATGACAGATTAAGCAAGACCGTTTGTGTCTTTTACACATCCTCCCTCTACTTATCAATTTTATTCGTTTTTTACAAAATCATTTTTATAGTTTTTTACTTTAAATTTGATTATTGAAAGAAACATTTTTTTAAAAACTAAGTAAAATAATTACAAGATTTGTTAAAGAAATATTAAATAAAAGAATTTTGTTTCTATAATTGATCCTATATTCAGAACAAATTGCATTTACTACATAAGCTTTTTTAAAAGTTTTAATCCGATAAAAAAATGTAAAAGTTAGGATTAAAGAATTTAAATTTAATCTCTCATTTATAAGTAGGTATAATTCCTTAACAATCTGTACTTACTTACGAGATCATACCAGTAAAAAGACATGTCTTGTTTTAATCTGATTGTGCCATACTTTGAAAAGTATATATGTACTATTCCTTCATCAGTAACATTGTAATTTTGTCTAAAATTAAGCAACAGAAAAGTTTTAAGAGCATTTTCTAGAAATCTTCAAAAACAATTTTATATTTTACACTGGCAAAAATGTAAATATACTTACAATAAGTTAGTATTAAATTCACCAGGAGTCATATCAGTCGTCCAACTTAATACATCGTAACTAATATCTTCACAGGCAGCATAACAATTGTAACAATGTAAAGCCTTTTCTTCTTTTTCAAAATTAGTGTGTTCTTCCTCGTGAGGGAGAATCGTTAACCAATCGGCTATTTTATAAAGGAAATAAAAATCAATATATCGAGTATAAAGTGATCATAATTATTAATTTATTTAAATAATAAGTTTTAAATAATATAAATATTAAAGTTTACAAATTATTTATGTAAAAACATAATTGTTTTTAGATTAATGTAATAATATTTACATTTATGCTTAGCTAGGCATTCAAAGTCCAAACTATTACAAATACGCCATGAATCTGAAATATATAATAAAATATATATACATATATATTACCCATAATAAACATAAATAGAAAATATTTATAAAATTAATCTGTAAAAAAGAATAAAATTTGCATAAGTAAAAGTTTTTTTCTTGTAAAATAAATTTTAAGAAATCCAAATAATTCTCACAACTTAATTAAATTGCAATATTTTATTATAACTTTTCTATTTTTAAATATATATGTATTACAGCATATATTATAAACATATTAAAAAAAATTTCTTAATTTGTTTTTCTAGTTATTGCGATAAATATTGTCATACGTCTCGAATTGAAAGAACGCCGGAATTGGGGAGATATCGGTTCGAATTGCGGCTGAGGTAATATTTGTTTACAATAAATTATTTACAGAATTGTAAACATGTATATTAGCATCCTCAACATTAAATTACTTGTCAATTTAATCTGTAATATTACTGCTCCAGTTTCAGTTTAGGACTATGTTCCAACAAATAATGTTCAAATAAAACTAAAAAATTGATTGCTCATGTTGTTCAATATTGCCAAGGATTTCTTTATTTCTTGTAAAGAATTAACAAAAAACTTTATCATACTGGATATAATGTCATAACTACCGGATAAAATTACGTTAATATTACAAAATCTACTTTTAATTTTTTAATAAAAATATAAAAATAAGAATTTGCAAAAAATGTTCATATTTTGAACAGTATGAGGAAAGATGGAGAGTACGTCGAGCAGGGTAGCGCGGTCGTCGTTGCACGTGTTGTTGATTAATATGGAGAACGGAGAAGGCAGCCGCGAGAAAAACGACTCCAAGCACGCCCTATGCTATCGATGGAGCGCGAGAAAAAGAGCAATCGGGAGGGCTTTAAAACGAAAGAACAGAGAGAGAGAGAGAGAGAGTGAAGTACTCTGTGCTGCATGCGGCGCGGCGCCGCTTTCAGCGAGTTCCTCTTCTTTGCTAGAACCCCAGCCACAGTAAGTTAATCCTACAGAGCGATGCTTCACGCGATCCGCTTTAATGCTTTAAGCCACCCGTGGTAAAGCCTCGTTAGAAAGCTCGCGAAGGCGTACGCCTCGCAATGCGGCGCGCAACGTTCCTTTACAGATTGCCGCCCACGCCTCTCGACTTCGTGATAGAAGAAAGAAATCGCCGGGATGTAAGAGAGTTCACCAGTCTGGAGAAACCCGATTTATCCAATAAGATACGATCCTTACTGAATAATCTATTTAAATCTTATCTATAGTCTTAAGTAATAAAATTTTATTTGATAAAATTAGTCACATTTATCTTGACTTATATAATACGTTTCTTTTAATTATCGCAATCATTATTCTATTATGATTAATATCTCAATAAGAATTACATCTAATTATACGTAATTATGCACTTTTATTTTTAATCTGCCATTACATTTTTTAATTCAAATTATTAAAATAATGATTATATTTTGTATTTCAATCAATTTGTAAATTAATAGAACTAGATTTAAAACTTTATTTTTTAATTATTATATTTTCAATAACTATTTTTATCATGCTTTCTTATTTAATATTAATGCATTTTTATTTTATCTCAACTTTGCAATAAAAATAGAAAAATCGAAGCATGAATGAGATGTGAGAAGAATGTGAGAAATTGATGGAAATCTTATTGGCTTTGGAAGATACGTTGTCTATGATGTTATCGTATTGACTGTTCGTTCAAATTGATTTCTCTTTTATTTTTGATTATCTATTTTTTTTACTAAAACAAAAATAATTATTATATTATTACTTAAAACTTTTAAAAATTAATTTTATTATATTTATATACTTTTACTTTATCTAAAAACATGATTAAACACTATTAAAAATATGATAGACATAATAATAATTATTATACCGTTAATTTTTTATGAAAAAGATGTAATACTACAGAAATTAATACTTATTAAATATTTTTTAACTTACCTAACATAAACTAAATCTTTTTCATTAAAAAACTATTGTTAAACAAAAACTCTCTGTATAGATTTTTATGATTATTTATAATATAGTTTTATCAGCGTATTCTATTAACAGATAACAAATAATAACAATTTAATAATATGTTATTTTTTATCATATTTTCTAAAACATGTAAATCATATTTTTCTATTAACAAAAAAAGATAAATAGAAGGTTTAAATTGTATAAGGAGAATTTGAGAAGAAAATAAAATCGAAAAGAAAGCAACACTATTTGTTCCAAAGATTGCTAGCAATATTGTCGAATCGTCAACCTCGGTAGACTGTGATGCACTGCAAAGAAACACTAATGAAAGTAGTTTATACTTGTGAGTGTAGGGTTTACAAGTTCGATGTTACCGCTCGTTCTATGAACATTGAAATTCGTTTGTTGTATATACGATTCGTCAAGATCTCAATCAAGTTAATATCAATTTTATTAAAACTTTTAATCACAAAATAATCTGATCATATAATAAATAAATAAAGCATTATAAATAAATAAAACATTATTATTACGATCATTATATCCCGTCATTTGACTTTAAAGTGTCTCTCTCTCTCTCTCTCTCTCTCTCTCTCTCTCTCTCTCTCTCTCTCTCTCTCTCTCTCT